CAGGAATGCGTCAGGATCCAGGTCTCCTGACTCAGGGTCTGGGGCTGCCACAGCCTCTGAGGGAACCCAGAGAACAAAACCACTACCCACGTCCCCAAATTAACTTCCACCGATTTTCAAATCACCATCTGTCCAACCAATTGCCAGGAAGCTGTGGTCCCTGAGGGCTGCTCCTCGTGGCTTCAGAGGTGAGGCAGCTGGTCCTCCTCCAGTGACACCAGCCCCAGAGGATGTCCCTGGGCTGTAGAATGCAGCTTATGACCTGCCAGGAGGAGGTTAAGACCGCCCTATTACACTCACCAAATGGATAAAAAGACTGACACCACCAAGTACTGGTGAGAATGCAAAGCAACAGACTCATACTCAGCTGGTGAGTGCGACTTGTCCAACCACCCTGGAGTCCACTTTATTACTGTCAGTGCTGAGATGTGCCCTGCGGCCCAGCGACTCCACTGCTGGGTGGGAACCAAACAGAAACGTATGCACATGGTCACCAAAGTCCACATACACCGGACACGGCCTGGGTGCTTATCAAGAGCAGAACGGAGAGGTAACTCGAGGTTTCTTCACATTGTAGGACCTTGAGTAGCAGCCAGAAGGAGCGGATGACTGCAGACAACAAACAATGATTCTCTCATGCCCGTAATGCCAAGGAAGGAAGCCAGACACAAACCAGACAGAACTCAATCCACAACTGAGATAGCATTACTCTCTTGGGGTCAGTGACTAGATGGAGCACGAGAGGGTCTCTAAGTGAATCCAGCTCACCCCAGCTGGTCGAGCCATGACCCAGGAGAGGCACCAGACATTCATTCCAGTCGGACTGTGCCGGATCCTCCAGCCCCATCTGAGCCTTTCCTGATGCGCCCCACCTGAACTCCTGACCCACAGAAGCCTCAACAATTGAAAAAAATGAGCAAACAAAAAAAGGGTCTTGTTTGAAGTCACTACGTTTTTCAAGAGAGCGATTGATTATCGAAACAATTTTCATCCTTGAGGGGCTGCTGAAGACAGGGACCAAACCTTTCTTGTATTCAAAGTGATGTTGACATTTAATAATATTTAATACAAACAATACTGTATGTTAATATACAAATAAATAATTTTAATCATTCTTTTTTATTCTCTAACTAAACAACATACAACATTAAAGCCTCTTATCAACGCATGTAAGATGCAGCATGCATTACTTATTTAATTACTTTGATAATTCCTGAATAATTTAATATTTTGAAATTGTTGGGTGATTATTTCTCTGATGTGGCTGTCACTAGTTAGATGAGGGCTCGGTCTGAAACATGATTTAACAGTAGGGAACTACGGCAAACTCTTCTTGAGACATCTCCATGAAATTTAAAGTCATAAGGTGTGTCAGCATTCTTAATTTCAGAATAATTTCAGTATTCTTGATAAGTAGTGAATGTCTCTTGATATTAACTATGCTGTTCTCGGCTCTGAATCTTTCTTAATCCTTGTAATAATCTCAGAGATTTTAAAATATAGTCAACATCTTTATCATCAAGTATATATAAAATAAGTCATTAGTGTGTCTAATTAGTTGGCATAATTTTGTTAGTTTTTGTTCATCTTCAATCCATGAGGCTAAAACATCACGTGGATGATTTTCCATTTAATACATGGAAAGATTTAAAAGTTTACTCTAATTTTCACTTTTGTCATTAGATAATAGGTTCATTATCATAGAATTAAACAATCTAAAATTCTCTCTTGGAATTGATACTTTGTTTTATTTCTGATAGTATGCCATATCTCTTTATTTCTCTTTCTTCCCCTCACT